AACACAGGCCGCATTCAGCACCAGGTTATCTACCCATACCTCATCATTAAGTGGCTGCAGGAAATCATTCTTTACAATTTCGCGGATAACATTATTGCCCATGCTGTGGAAGAATAAGGTAAGCCGTCCACCGCCCATTGTATGTTCGTCCCTTAGCTGCTTTACCTGGCGTAATACCGGGGCAAAATCAGTGCCCGCCTGCCGTGCATTGCCAAGTGCAAAATGATAATTGCCAAGCATTCCTTTCGTGGTTTTATAACTGGGGTAGTCGAGGTATAAAACATTTACCTGGTGTTGGCTGGCCAGGCTAAGGCCGCGGTAAAGCCCGGTCGTAAAGATCTTGCCATAACCTTCCGTGTATATCACCCAATCCTTATCCTTGTCTTTTAATGTGGCAATCGCGGCTTGCAGGCTGGGGGCGGTTCCTACCAGCCATTGTCCATTTTTAATGCAAACAACGAAGTAGTGAAGTGCCTGCTCATCCCGTTCTTCGCTCATAAAGCGCGCTTTATGAGCGAAGGGGAGCCGGTTGCTGGCAACCACGATCACGGAATCTGTTTGTGCAGGCAGGGCGCGCAGATCATCATGGAATATAATGTTCTTCCAGAAGCTTTCCGTATTCATAATCCTGGTAATGTTTACCTGCCCGCATACCGCTACCGATGAAATAAGTAAACAAGCAAGCAACAATAGTCTGTTCATAAAATAATTCCGGTAAAAGCTTTATTGTCGGACAATCACCCGATACCATATACGAATAAAAATCTCGCCAGCATCGAGTAAGTTTGCGCTTCGTTTTAAAAAGACTCCTAAAAGTATGTTACGACTTGGTAAATCACTATTGGTTTTTACAAGCCTGCTATTGGTGAATGAGGCAGATGCCCAGAAGAAGCAGTTTACAATGGCAGAAGCCGTTACGGGCATGGGCACTACACTGGCGCCGAAAGGGGTAAGGGGTGCTGCCTGGGTTGGTGGATCCAATATACTGATGTATCAGAAAGAAGGAGTGGCGACTGCATTTGATGCTCAAAAGGGAGAGACGGTTCCCTTGACCGGCAGCCTGCAATCCTGGAAGCCGGGATATACCTTTCGCCAGAAAGATGCGTACTATT